TGTTTTAAATGATGCAATACATGCATAATTTTTCGAAATTTTATTTGTATATTATTTAATATTCCAGAAAAGGGATATACAAATAAAATTTTTAATGATATTGCAGTAGAAATTAAATATTAAATAAATAAATGAATACGACACTGTGTATACAAATATTTATGTATTAAATATTTTATTTTTATTTTATTTTGTATATAAATTAGAGAGTCACAATAAATTCTGGAGATATTGATTTTATTGTGCAAAATTATATTAACACGTAAAATTCTTCGTCTCCTTATCAGGAATATATGAAAATTATTTTGAAATAAAAAAAAAATCTTTTACAATTGGATAATATTTAACAATGTAACATTTAATTCTTCGTTTTTTATAATATACTTTTTCAAAATTCGCTATTTATAGAATACGATTAATGAAGCATAATTTTTAATATTACATAATTATAATATTTGTATTATTTTGTTCATATTCTTTTTTTAGATTTATTTCCAAAGCCGAATAAAATTGCAATTGTAACTGGTGGTTCTAGAGGTATAGGAGCGAAAATAGTTGAGCAATTGTTACAGTGTGACATGGAAGTTATAATCGGTAAATTATTTAAGTTATTGTTGATGTAGTATTCTATTGTCAATATATCTAACATGTCAATACATGGAAATATATTAGCTTGTAGAGTAATTAGCGCGGGTGAAAATATTATCCACCAGATTAGAGAATCTGGTGTCATTAGTGGACGAGCAAAGGTTTATAAACTTGACAATTCCTCTCTCGAATCAGTCAAAAAATTTGCAAAGCAAATAAAAGCGGATTATGATAAAATTCATATATTAATTAACAATGGTAAGTGAGTAGACATTTTAACTCTATTCTGACATAGAATGTTGATTGCGTGTAAAAAAGATTATTTTTTTAGCTGGTGTTATGTTTTCTGCCTATAAAAATACAGAAGACGGATACGAAGAACAATGGATGATAAACTATTTATCACATTTTTTACTAACGTCTCTTCTTCTGCCGTTATTGAAAACTGGAGGGCATTCGGAAGAATGTAGTAGAATTGTTAATGTTTCTTCATGCGCTCATGACCTCGGCACCATAAATTTTGACTACATCAATAATTTCGACAAGTAATCATAAAAATATTGTTAAGCTATCTTTTTTCATTTATTTCGATGATGAATTTAAGATTATTCGTTAATATATGACATGTGAATTTTCTTAGAACTTAAACAATTATTTTATTATGCAGGGAACTAATTTGCAGGCATGATTCGTATGGACAAAGTAAATTAGCACAGACCATGTCTACGATAACATTGCAGAAACTGTTTAAAGAAAAATCGTTGAATATATTAGTATATTCCGTGCATCCGGGCATAGTGAAAACAGATTTATTCAAAGAAACTTTATTAGCTTGGAACAAATGGCTTATGGTTGGATGGAAGGTAACAATATATATATATATACCAAATTTTTTAAATTCTCCACTATTATCAATTCATTTACTATTACTTTACTGTCGCAGACAACTAATCAAGGAGCAACTACAGTAACATATGCTGCAATTAGCAAAGATCTTGAAAAAAAAGGTGGGATATATATTAGTAATTGTAAAGAAATGGCTGTTCCTTACTTAGCCCTCAAAGAGGAAGTTCGGAAACGATTATTTGAATTGTCCTTAAAACAAATATATTTAGAAAATTTTTTCCAATATTTGTAACGAAAATATACACAGTATATTTCTTTATTCCATGTCTTATTAAATAATTCATCATTGAATATATCGCGCACTTATTTTCAATAAATTTATATTAAAAATTAATTTTTTTTTTTTTACATTTAAAACATTCATGCGATGCGTCTATTCTAATTTTAACTAGAAAATGCAAATAACCGATTACACACGCAACATTGAATATGTATGAAAATATTAGAAAAGATGACAGACGATAAACTTTAGAAAGACGTAAAAGAATTCTTTTAGCTAAATCATTCTTTACTGAAATGATGTATATTATTGTTAGATATTACTTTACATAAATAAATATTAAATACATTTTTTTTTAAATAATCCTTTTTTAAAAATAGCAATACTTCCTTCTTCATAATGCCGATTATTTTTTCTCGTTTGTATTACAAATAACTATGAATTGGAAATCATATATTTTGGCATCTAGCAAGTTGTAATTTATGAAGAAATAGTAATTCTATTCGGATTTAAGAATGAATTAATATACAGGATTCAAAATTCGCATTCACAAGATACTTGTATACTTTATGCTAAAACAAACAACTTTTTTCTTTAATAAAATTATATTCGATAAATAATTTTTTTTATTCATATAACTTCAATCTGCTCTTCTGCAAAATAACTATCTATCAGACGGAAAAGGAAAAAGTTTCTTTTAACATAAAGTATATCACGTCTTGTACTTCGTCAGCACGAAAAAAACTGAAAAAAAAACTAAGGAAATTTCAAGGTTCAACAAGAATCTCATTTTAGACCGTGAGAACATGTGAGAACACAATAATACAAACTAAAAATTAAATTATTGCCTATACCTCCAATCGAAGCTGGATCTTAAATAATTCGATGTTATATATTAGGTGCGCAACTAAGTTCTCGCTGTTATTTTGATGGCATTTTCTATATGTACATGCATTCATGCATATTTATCATATTTGCGATCATTCGCCGAACTGCGCGCCGAATTGGTTTTCTAGACTTATAAACGCAATTGAATTATGCTGTAATATTATCATAAATTAAATTAAATTGACAAGTAATTTTTAATAATTTGATCAATCAGGTATCATATTAGAAAGATATACTGAAAATTATTAATATACTGAAAAACTGTAAATAAATTTATTGCAAAAAATATTACCTTGGTCTGGAGTCAAACCCGGATCTCTTGTATTCCGTCCTAAGCCTTTAAACTACTGAGACAAAGCATTAAAGATTAAACTTCGACCAGTATAGGCGTTTAATTTCTAGTTCGTATTGATTGTGTTTTTAAAGTCATAATTTATTTTTTTTTTAAGAAATAAGAAAAGACAAACATTAAACTTGATTTTAATTTTTGACTGTCGCAATTTCAATGTAAAATCTATATTTAGCTCTATGAGTTAAAAATATACAATCATTAAGCATTAAAAATGTTAGCTGAGCTATGAAAATTAATGAAGGTGATTAGTATGCAAACGTGTATGCAATGATTAGTATGCAAGCTGATTTAAAGTACCTGTTTCCTCATCACTATTATTTCAAATGGTGACATCGGAAGCAAGATCTAATGTTACAATCTGAAAATAATAATGAGTGAGTAGGAGCATAATTTTCTTGAACGTGAAACGTTTGTTTGATTATATCAATTATATTAAACTTCACACACCACACGCGCGCGCGCGCTTACTGCTTCTTTAACTATTACAACACAGACATTTTCACAATCAATAATATAAATAAAATATTTTATTCAATATTTTACGTAGCAGTATGATTATATTTCGATGCGCGTATATTAAGAGAGATTTTTATATTATATTATACATATAATATAAAAATACAGAAATTCGTATTTAAAAACTTATGTAAAAGTCAATGAAAATATATCTGCTATAAATCTTATATGTAACTTAGTAATAAATTTTGATTGATTTTTTTATATTAGAAATATATAATGTGTGATATAAATTTGTATTGACTATATAATTTTTATAAAATCTACTATAACTAAGGACAAATGGCATGTGCATCGCCCGTGCATTGTTATGTATTCTAACCTCTATAGAGCGTCCGAGATTTATGAATTAAAATAGCATGAAAGTTCTCAAAAAATATATTTAAAAAGTATTTGCCATTTTTCTTTCCAATCAATAGTTTTTAAGATATAATGATTCGAAATTTGCCAATTATACAAGTCACGATTAAACAGCTACTTGTAAGTCGTCATAACAACTATCGATAAGCGATTCATGAATAAGCAGCAGTTTTAAACCTTTATATCTCAAAAAGTACTAGCTTAGAACAAAAAGTGGCAAATGCTTTTAATTAATTTTTTTTTTAAAACTTTCTTGCTGTATTTTGATTCGCAATATATACGCCCTGTATATATAATTTTCTATTAATACGATAACACAATATTAATCTCATACCAAGAAAATTGATATATATGTTTTGACTAATATAGTTTTTATTACAAGTCGATTTATATTGCATTATTAATAACTTACACTATGTAATTATATAACAAAACGTTTTTGTAACATAAAATCTTTGGAGTAATTTCAAATTGAATAGCTAGTATATAAACTTAACTATGTTAAAAAGATCTTAATTACAGATATCGAAGAAAGGAAAATACTTTAATTTTTATATAAACATCTAACACACATATAAGTTATGCATTTTCTCAGAACTTATTCAATCAAAATTTGATTGAAAACTACTATTATAGATAAATAAAAATTAGATATATAACAATTTCAAAGACTAATTTAATTTCTTTTTGCTGTAAAAAAGATAAATGTTTATCCCAGTGAATTCATACATACAACTTACATAAAAGAAACAATTTATAATGATAATTAATACTAATAAACTACAGATTATTTAAAAAATTAGAAAGTATTATCTAACAAGAAATTCATAATAAAATACATATTACTTATAACGATTGTGTTATATTGATACATATAGGCCGTGGTCCGATTTATGCTGACAATGCTCATGAGCATCGTTTGTCTTCATTTAACAAACAACAAGGATGAAATGATTTTTAAGAATTGTGAGCGTGAATCGGATCGTAGCCATAGAGTATAAAAGAAATGTGAAAAAAGACTAGACATTTTAATATTATACGAAATGTATATAGAATAATTAATACTCAACCACATACTGTTTATAAGATCCACGAATTATAAATTAAATATTATATAACAAAAATCTGATCATATAAATGCTAAAAGTTATTTAATAATAATATCTTGTTATCACTTGTTTAAATTATTACTAAATAATTCATTAAAATAAAAATTATTTTCGTTGATTATTGTATGCAGAGTTACAATATCATTTATGCTTTAATTTTAACATGCTGTTAGGAGCATATTGTGAGCTGTCTTCTTCAAAATAGTTGTGATAAACACATATAAATATTGCACGTTAGAAATAACTTTATACATCGTAGGCTTGTGTGACATGTTGTAAAAATCTTATTATTACTAATAAGATTTTGGACAAGTTACCAAAATCCATTGTGGTAATAACTATTTGTACTTTCGAAGTATAATAACAAAAGAGAAATACTACAATTATATTAAATAAAATTTCCATTGCATATGGAAATAAATGCTTAAACAATATATTTAATATATATATCAAGCAGTATTACTTTAATTAAATAAAATGCGCGATAAGAGAGCGTAAAACTACGCTATATATCTATAAAAATTTAATGTCCTAAAAGCTAGAGTGCTTAATGATATATTTAAATTCTTGTTTTAAATATTAAATATATCTTACAACATAGTATAAAGCAACGTAGCATATAATATCATAACACTAAACAATAACACTGTGTATCAAAGATATACGTGTACTATACGTTCCCTAAATTATCAAATATGATACGCTCGATTTCAATCACCGTGTCTATAAAAAAAGGTATAATATAACATATAAAAATTATTTAAGAGAGTCTGCTACAACCGCAATTACTACTATCACCGATTGACGTCGTTTTACCGTTTATTGAAGTTGTATTCGTTTCATACCGAGGTAATTCCTTACAGCGTGCTTGCTAAAATAACATACGAGCACTGCAAAATATTCTAAAATGAAATAATCTTAAATAAAATACGCTCGCTTACCTCCATAAGTTCAGCTGCTATTTCCATAAATAATCTCTCTACGTTTTCCGCCTCTTTAGCGGACGTTTCTAAAAAGTACATGCCGTGCCTTTGTGCAAAATCCTCTCCCACGTGTGTTGGTATCTCTCTATCTTCTCGATCAATTTTATTCCCTAATTAACATATAAAAATTGTATAATTTCTCAATGATAGGAGAGAAACATACATGTTAACTTATAATCTTTATGTTTTTCATTTACCTACTAATATCCTAAGAACTTTATTACTTGCATATTCTTCGATTTCCCTCAACCAATCTAGTAAACAATCGAATGTAGGTTGACAAGAAATATCATAAACTAATATCAATGCATGTGCTGATCTATAATAACTTTGAGTAATGGAACGAAATCTTTCCTGACCTGCAGTATCCCAGATTTGCAACTGAAAAAAATATTCAACAATAGATTATATATATATATATCTAACGCACATATCGCATATAGATTGTATACCTTAACTTTTTCATTTTCGACTTCAACAGTTTTAATCATAAAATCAACTCCAATTGTTGCACCTTGTCCAGGTGGAAATAAACCCTACAAATTAAAATATTCACACTAAAATCATAGAAATTATATAAAATAATTATATTAAAATTAGACATGCCAGTATCACTTCAATGTCTCTGCTAAATTACATATCCATTTAATGATATGATTTTTCATCATCTTATAATTTTAGCATATGTATGTCACCTAAGAAAGACATTATAAAAATAGTTGTAATGCATTCTATTATAAGAGATGATTCGAGTTTTGAGAGCGATCTCTTAAAGATCTCTCAATGGAAATAAATTTTAGAAAGTTTCTGGCTGACATAAATATAGGCTGACATGAATATAGGCTGACATAAAATATGAACTGAAAATATGATGCATCAAATGGCTCATCACTAGCAAATAAACCACGGTAGATCGGCTTCAAAACTTATAACTTTCGACATATGTAAATGACATCATCTCCAGGATGCATAAATAATGAACTTTCAACTCTTTCCGGGAAATTCCGTTCGTGCATGAATTCTGCGTACGCGAGGGAGAAGGTAGGAGGTCCCACGAGAATGCCTCTCGTTCGATGACAAGCTCTCGTTGAGGTTTTCGTAACCCGTAACGGGAAAGGAGAGAGAAAAAAAGAGAGGAATCGCCGATCGGAGGGACGTCACGTTGACGCACCTGAGTGAATCGTCGCACTAGGCAGGTTTTGCCCACACCGGCGTTCCCCACGAGCACGACCTTGAAGAGAAACTTGTAGTCCTCCATGTTCTCCACTGTTCGGCACCAGGAGGCGGAGGTCCACGGCGGAGGTCCGCGCTCGCGAATCGCCCGCTCAACAAGGACGGCGCATCCGTGCAGAGGGGAAGGGGGGGAGACTTCGACACCAACGGCACCGCCGGACTTTCCGCAACCGTTCACCTCGACGGCGGGCCGCGCGAATGTCACGCACGCTGCACGCACACACACGAACCTACGCGCGCGCTCACCTTCTCGGTTTCGCTCTCGAGAGTCTCGAGGAAGGGGAGGGAGGGAGGGAGGGAGGGAGAGAGAGAGAGAGAGAGGAATAAATGTAGAAGGGGGCCAAGAGAAACCGATGGCGACTACCTCGGTATCGTCGTCGCGCTCATCGCTGCACGCGATCCTCACTTAGTTATCGAGAGAATCTCGCGAGAATCTCGCGTCTTCTTTGGACGCGATTGACATTGTTGGTTATGTATATGAACCTCCGTTGAACGAACCATAGGAGACGCCTCTCCCGCACTCTCCCTGTCACGGTTTTTTCATCCTGATCCGTCTCAGGGAGGCGCCATCTACCACCATCCTTTCGACCATCCTTCTACTATTAACCTTGAGTAAATTTCCGTTCGGGTGCATTTCTCAACAATGGAGTTCCTGGGACTTGGAAAGCTCTGACATCATCTGTCATTTTTGCTGCTTAAAGATGTAAGCAAACAAAAACAAATTAACTCTTCTTAACTCGTTCTTAACACTCACTATTTTATCATCGATAATAGAGAAAAAAGTGCAGGAAAATGCGAAAGGTACAGAAAGTGTACGTGTGAGAAGAACGAAGTCATTAGTATATATCAATATATATACTGAGTATAATTTGATAAGACGCCACACATACAACGAAATCATTCTCGAGGAGTCGAATTTGAGTTTGACAATCAGGGTAACGTCAGGAAAAGATGAGACGAAAGGCGGGAGTAGGTGCGATACAAAAGCAGAAGCTAGAGCAAGAGAAGTATCGAGACAAGGGCACGGAAATTCAGGAAAACCAATTCGAGCAGATGACCAAGCACATGGAGACATTTCGCGTAAATCTCGAGGAGTTTGCTTCAAAGTACAAGAATGAAATCAAGAAGAACGCGCAGTTCCGACGCCAGTTCACAGAGATGTGCGCCTCGATCGGTGTGGACCCTTTGGCATCTGGCAAGGGTTTCTGGTCGGTGCTGGGCATTGGCGACTTCTACTATGAGCTGGCTGTTCAGATCGTTGAAGTCTGTATGGCAACGAACTACAAAAATGGTGGCCTGATATCGCTAGACGAGCTGAGAACGCGTTTGATTCAGGCCAGAGGACGTAGAAAGGAGCATCAGGAGATCACCAATGAAGACCTGTTAGCTGCCGCGAAGAAGTTGAAAATATTCGGGAATGGCTTCTCCGTAGTTCCCATCGGCAGGGGAAAGCACTTGGTACAGTCGATACCCGGTGAACTTAGCATGGACCATACTGCAGTATTGAGTCAAGCTAGCTTGTCCACAAATGCCTACGTCTCCAAATCTATTCTGTGTAAAGAATTGAAATGGGAGGAGGACAGAGCACAAAAGGCTTTGGACCACATGATGAAAGAAGGACTGGCCTGGCTGGACAGACAAGCGAAAGATGAGACGTTATATTGGTTTCCTAGTTTATTCACAGCTTGCATTGTTTCTAAAGAATGAACTCGGTGTCAATATCAATGTTATCAAATAGGTAGGAAATAATTTAAAGAAAGAATTAACATTGCTTGTTAAGGTTTGTATCTCTTTGGTCCGTAAAGCCAATCGTTCTGTAATATTTACAGTATCCGAGATGTGTTGCGATCGTTTTATACTTATAAGTATAGGGCATTGTCACCTGGTCTCGGATCCTTGTATATAACTAAAATTGCAAAAAAAGAAATATAAGTAAAAAGAAGATGCCATTTTGATATGACTCAATTTCTCTAAGATTTTATACAAACCTAGGTTGAATAGTATCTGTTTTAAATTGAGTAAATTGCTGTTTGCAAAGTGCTTTGTGTAATTCGGCATTCTCTTTTCGTAATGAATTAATTTTTCCACGTAATTCCTTAGACTTTACTTGGAATTGTGCTGTCAAAGATTTTGCTTCATCTCTCCATCTTAAAATGAAATCAAATCAAATTTTGATCATTTAGCCAGATTTTAAATAGTGAAAAATAAAACTTGTTTTACTTTCTGCTTAATTTTTGATGAATTGTCACATGCTGCGTCATCTCTCTTATTTTCTTGTCAAAATGTTCTTGTTGTTTATTCAATTGCTCAGTTAATAGAGACTGCCAATTGGAATCCATATTTTCAAATCTGGAAAACATAGAAAAATATCCAAAGTGAAAGTTATTTATTTTATGTAAGTACAGCTTTGGCCATATGTATAAATTTATTGCATTTTCTTGAAAAAGGTGATAATAAAAGCCAAAGAATTAACAAAATTAATATTATTATAAAAATAAATAGTGTAGGTTTTATTGTAAAATATGCTAAGCACGGCCAAAGCATATGAAGGACCGCTCCACATACTGCGTCTCGACTTATGGCAACCTTGGAAGACTCACGACATCTCTCCGAAACTCATTGACTCGCAGGACTCACAACAGCTCTCACAAACTCGCAGCCGTTCTCACAGACTCGCAATCATTCTCCTCGCATTCTTTGGGTTAGCTTCTCTTAAGCCGGTTCTACATTAGTTGCAAGTTGATCTCAAGTTTGTTGCAACAGCCAATATGAAGCGTTGATTTCAAAATGCAAGCTTCAGATTGGCTGTCGCAACAAACTTTGCGATCAGTTTGCAATGTAAGAACCGGCATTACAGGATCGGCAAAAACTCAAGGCTCTCTCTCTGATCTCTCGCCACTCGCACACACACATACATACGCATCCTCGCGAACGCCTCGCGGACACCTCGTGAATCTCCTCCAATCGTAACGCACGTTCGCTTACACACTCACTATCATGCCCTACCCATCTATCATGCCCTACAATAATATTTTTCAATAAAACTGTTTTAAAATTTATTTTTCGTTAAATATAAAATATTTCAATTTGAAGGTGCCTTATACTTTTAGCCATGGCTATATAATTATAAATGTATTAAAAATGTTGTATAATAAAATTATTTACCTTATATCCAAAGTATGTTTGCTTGTATCCGCTCTATGTTGCGAGACTTGCGTTGGAGAAATATTGATGCCCGATTTACCCTCTGTTACGTAATTCTCTTTCAAAAGATTCGTTTCTAATTCACGGATCTTAGTTTCCAATGAGCTTCGCTCGTAATCTCTCTTATGTATCTCACGGTCGAAAGCCGATTGTAGCGATTTCAATTCTGTCGCTAGGGATTCCTTATCATCTGTAGCTTTGACTAATTGGCCCTCCAAATTAACGTAGCGATCGATCGCGTCCTTCGTCCTTTCATCGGCCAACTTGATGCGATCTCGTATACCCACAGAGTTCTGTTGTTGAAGTTGCCTCAGTTTCTCATTCGAAATTACTAACTTCTCTTCCAAACTAACAATTTTTTCTCGCAGTTGCTGCACCTCTACATTATATTGTCTCTTGCACATTTCGTTACAAGCCTCCAACTTGAAGTCCGTCTGTTTCAATGCTTGTTCGAAGGTCAAAATCTTCGCGGTCGATTTTTCCAATAAATCCTCGGAATCTCGACGCATCTTCTCCAGTTCCTCCTCTGCCAATCTGCTCTCTTTTTGCGATCGATCCAATTGCGTCATCTTTTCTCGTAATTCTGCTTTCAACTGTTTGATCTCTGACAAATATTGCTTAACGTTGTACTCATGAGCATCTTTCAATCTAGCAATCTCCTCTCGCATTTTAACAGCGTGTTCTTCGGCAATGGAGGCCAATCGAGTTTCCAACCTGGCATTCTGTTCTGCAATTTGACTCTCTTTTTGAAGTACAAAGTCCCTCTCTTTTACAGCAGATTCTACTAGATCAAGAGCTTCAGCCATCTTGCACCTTGTTTCTTCGTACTTCGCCATAATATTACTGACCTCTCTTCTACTCTCGTTCAGTCTCTTCTCTAAGTCTGACTTTAAATGATTTACAATTCGTATCTCTGCTTTCGCGGCAGATAATTCTTCCGTTAACGACTGTATCTTCTGCTGACCATTCCTGTCTTTTAAATAAAATTACTGACATACTATCTCTCTCTTTCATATCTCGAATTAAATATTATATAAATCACCGACCTTTCTGTTGAGAATCTTGTTGAAGTTCCTGAAGTCTTGTTACTATTTCCTGTTTTTCCTGCTTTAGAGCTTCTATTGTCTCTTTACTCGACATCCACATTGATTGATGCTTTGCAAAATTTTCTTTAGCTTGAAGTAATTTATTCTCTAAAGCTTTTATAGCTTCTGAATATGATTGTCTGATGTTTTTCAATTGCTCCTCATAAAACATGGCATTGCTATTGTCCACTGGGCGAGTTTTTAGTTCTTGCTCTAAAGTGTCCACAGCTTTCATTGACATCTGGTATAATTGGACCGCAAAATCCTTCTCCATTTGTAGGACTGTGATATGTTCTTTCAAATTCATGATCATTTTATTGTGCACATCTTCATTGCCACATTGTTCTGAGTGAGCACGTGAAATATAATCACGTATGGCATCAGTACTATTTTTATTCTCAACATACAAAGCTTGTAGCTCAGAACGAATGCCGACTTGTTCTGTCTGTAAAAGATATGTGTCGTATATAGAATTGTTACTATCCAAAATCCCTTTTTTGTAACTCTTAATAGTATCGTTATATTGTCATTGCACAACTTTTATATCATATCTCTCTAATCTTATATTCTCTGAAACTTTTAGAATGAATCTTACTCTAAGGAGTGAAATCTTACTTTTAAAGATAAAGAATTAAACTATTATTTTTCAAGATGAACTCAATTTTCATTCTTTAGAATAAGCTTTTATTTCGAAAAATTTAGAAATTATATTATATTACTGCATAACTGCATAAGAACAATGCAACAATATTAACACTATTGTTAAAAATTACAAAATAACAGTACTGATAAAATCATAAATGAGAAATCATAACTATCAGGATATTGTGATTGTTTTTAAATGATGAATCATTATGATATTTTTCTAATCATATAATCTTTATGTTCTCCTGGGAATGTAGTTTATGTAAGAATAAGATACAATTGGAAGAAAGAAACATATCCCATTACTGTTAAACAGACTATTATAATGATAAATAAGAAGCTTACTTTGCATGTTTCCAACTCCTGTTTAAGTTCTTCAACAATGTCATTGTATTCTTGAAGAATAACATGATGTTCTCTGAAATATAAAAGAAATAGTTATCTTTTATCTAACATCAAAAGCATACATTCAAGATTTCCTAACCTCACACTCACCCGCGTTTCAGCGTGTTGTATTCTGAATCGAATTTTTTTGTTTCAAACATTTTTTTTTTTACAAAACTTATTAATTTACAAAAGGCAAATCAGTTATTATTAAAAAATTTTATCTCGATATCTAAATTATTTCTATTCAATTGAATCAACAACTATCCGTAACATGGTTGCATAAACACAACACACTACATAATTGATTTGACATACACGTATACGTATACGTAATACATATATTGCGTATACACACACACACACACACACACATACACACACGCGCGCGCGCGCGCGCGCGCGCGCACACACACACACACACATCCACACATTGATATTTTTGGTGGTAAAAATGCTCAAAATTACCAATATTTGATAAAAAAATATGATTAGTACATTTTTTGTCAATAATTATCTACAGCGATATATCGATAATTTATATAAATTTATGATAATTAAAGTGGTCTGTCCTGTTCAGCTGAATTTTATGCATTTGTTTATCTTTCCTCTTTTTTTCCTCTATATTACATTAGAAAAAAAAGGAGAAAAAATAATCAATGTAAGAAGTGTAAGAACTTGAAAGGAATAGATTAAATACGTGTTTCGAGATACAATTGTGATATAAAGATTATGTAATATACAAATTATTTTTTAATAACATATATCTCGGAATTTGTCTTCAAAATATAATATGTATCATAGCGAACGAATAGCACTTTTCCATTGGAAAAACTTAGTGTGCACTGAGAGTGCAATTGAGTGTAAATCAATTTACATGTCTTCAGTAATTAATAATTAATTTAGCCTTTTTAATTATATATTCTTTGTTGTCTTGATAACCTCATAACTTTAAAAATATTAAATTATTTATTAACACTATATGTAAACCGATTTGCGTCAATTGCATCAGTGTTGCACTTAGTTTTTCCGATGGAAAATGATTATAGATGCGTTCGTTTTGGGACATTCATAACATTTGTAAGCATTATTTGTCTTTGTTTAATATTCGATAATCAATAAGGATGAAATACTACACAGCGTGTGCACGTAATAAACGAACACACCCAATAAGAGCGTTTGCAATTGGACAATTGCATCATTATCAAAGTATTGTATATATTGCATTTTGCAACTGGCCATTTCAGCGACAAGAAAATCACCTGGTCAAAATTGCCGAATAACAATGGCTTAGTTTCCACCGAGGATTTGATCTGGATCAGAATGTAAAAATCAACCAACTACAGTCGAGTATTCCCCTGTTACAGTCGAACGACAGGAAAATGCTCACTGTAGTTGGTTGATTTTTACGTTCTGATCCCAATTAAACCTTCGATGGAAACTAGGCCATTGTTATTCGGCAATTCCACTATCATCATTTTGATCCTTTTTATTGCTGAAATTACCGACTTCAGCGGTACGTGAAAATGTACCTTAAGGCGTTAATTTGACTCACGTACATATACGTACTGGCTGAAGTTGCCGCTATTTTCGAACTTTTCCGTTGTCCGTTGTCGAGGCTAGCACTGGGTGAATTGATCTCGAGCCAAGTAACGTCGCGACACGTTTAATTCATTAATCGGTAAGCATAATCATCATCCACTCGTATTTATTCGCATTTTATAGTATATAGGCGGTTTGTGAAGCGCGATTCTGTTCGTAAAACGACAAAATTTGATCGTAGCTTTACGTATCATATGATAATTGTCCCCTCGAGATCCACTGTGAACGAGCAGTATCCAAACAGGACAACACAGATTTGTTCTTTTTAACTGATCGAACTTCTTGCACGGTTTATCTTTTTACTTTTTCTCTCCAACGAAAGACTCTCTAAAACTCTCTAAAACTTTTAGAGCGAGTGTCACTCTCGAAAAGTAAATTCTCACTCTTAAAGATTGAAAATTGAACTTTTTTAAAAATCTCAATTTTCTCTCTTTAGAATGAGATTTCAAAGAATTCAGACAAAAAAGAGGAAAAATGAACCGTGCAAGAAGCTCAATTAAAAAGAAGGCCCCATATCACGATAACATGAAAATTAAAATGAAACATGACTGATAGAAAAGCGATTTTCAATAATTACTTTAATTTGACATTCTTTTGACGTCATTATTACTTGTTATTCTGCTATTAGGTAAAACGAACGATCATTATACTTTCGGGTATCGTATTCCGCAGAAGATATTCATCTTTGAATCATATTCAGTCATGTTGTAATACGAGATAATAATAGCTATGAAATCTTTCATTCATTATTCAGAGAGTAGAAATTTGTCGCATAAAGCGCGGAAAACGCGCAAGAGTCGTCGTTGGCGCGTGAAGTTGGCGTTAGCGCGTGAAGTTGCTCGCGCGATCTGTGTAGCTAACTCGCCATTTTGGACTCCTTCTTGCTGCGTTAATAATACACGGGCTGCGAGCGTCTATTCAATTTCTTCGTTTTTTTCGCAGCGTTTGTTCATCGCGGTGATCCCTCGCATAAGACAGGTAAGATCAATATTAGAAATATCGTGCGGTTATTGTAGTGTAATGATTAATGCGCGTATTCGTAATCGGTCCCGTTTTTACGAGCAGGTTGTGTGAGTTAATGAACGGTGACGACGCGAGAGAAGAAGTAGGAGACCCAGGAAGTATCGGTCAGCAAAAAGATGGACAGGTAATTACTTATTTATTTATTGCTTAAAATTGAATAATCATTTATTTATGTGAATATGGCATTCCGTGTGTCATTTTATATTTTACAGGTTGTAAAAAATACGTATAAAGTAGTTTGGATTTTTCAAAACTTTAAATATTTAATGAAATATTTATAATATTTAATATCTTTTTATTAACAGTAATTAATATTTAATATAACATTGTGACTAGATTGTTTTACTTTTTAATAAATTTCAGCTTATCTGCTCTCTTGTTCTTACTTTCATTCTCTTTCTCTCTCTCTCTCTCTCTCTCTCTCTCTCTCCCTCCCTCTCTCTTACTCTTTCTTGTATCCATTAGATAAATTGCCACATAGTTCATCCGAAGATAGAATAATCAGCTCTGCATGATTTATAATCAAATATTATTCATAGAATTTGATAATTTATTTGCTCTCAGGTTGTGCGAGCCAGTTAATATAATAGTAACGGAGTGACGAGAAAGGAGAAATAGGAAGAGAAGATTTGAGCGGCATTGACCGACAGCGTAAAGTGAATATATAAATAATCACCATTTATTTTTACTGCTTGCCACCAGAATTAAATAATCATTTATTTGTACGACGATCGAATTCTGTACACTATTTTATATTTTATAAATTGTAAAAAAATGTCTATAAAGTGGTTTGCATTTTTTAAGATTTTAAATATTTAATAAAATATTTATAATGTTTAATATCTTTTCGTTAACAATAATTAATATAATATTTAATATAACATTGTGGCTGGGGCATTTTATCTTTCGATAAATTTCAATTTACTCGCTCTCGCTTTTGTTCTTTCTTTTGCTCTATCTTATGTCCATTAGATAAAGTACCACATAGTTTACTTGAAGATAGAACAACTCTATATGATTTACAATTAAATATTATTCATAGAATTTGATAATTTATTTGTTAGCAGGTTGAATGAGCGAGTTAGAATGGCAATGGGAAGACGAAAGAGGAGGAGGAGGAGAAGCCTGGAAAGTATCAAGCGACAGCGAAGAGGTGGACAGGTAATTATTTTTATTATAGCAAGAGACAAATGTATATAAATCACATTGTAAAAAAAGAAAATTTTCTTAATTGTATTAATAGCAAATTTATTAACTTCAAATATTAATATCAAATATATTACCTTTTAAAATGTTCATTACCACATAAATATTATTTACATAATATATCTCGCACCATATTTCGGATTTTAAATATAATTTTAAATATAATTTGTCTATCATCACTTCCAAATTAAGATCGCACAATAATATGCAATATATATGAATTATTAGAAAAAATAATTTAGTTAACGAAAAACCTATGATATCCAAGAAAATATCAATTAACAGAAATTGCATAACATAACTGTTAGTTATAATTTCCTATATCATATATAACTGTTACGTACAACATATGTTAAATTACAGTTATATTGTGAATCGGAAATTAAAACTGATAGTTACTGTTAGTTGGTATTTCCTAGGATCTATTTTTTATCAATATTTTACGAGATTGCATATATACATATATATATATATATATATATATATATATATTTGCACCAATTCTAACTTTTTTTTATACTAATTGCAATTATTTTAATGATTTCGCGTATGATTTTGTTATTAGCTGATGAATTTTATTTTTCATTATTTATTAAATAAATTATAGAGATGATTCCTGATTTATATATATATATATATATATTAAACGTTGTTTTTAAATAGCTTTAAAATAGTTTTATTCGTCTTGAAATACAAAGATGTGACATAAAGTTGTAATCATTAATTAATTTGCAAATATCTTCTAGATAAAAAGCAATACTGTCGTTGACTTAATATGTATCAGAGCCTATCTTTTTATTTCTTAAGAAAAAGAAAAATAATAGGCGTGAATGCTGATACACGTCTAGCTATTACAAATTTGGACAGTATCGTTAAATGGATACTTGGAATAGATTTCGATCGGAATTATTCTATTTTCCGTAGATACAAATCTAAGCGAATAATTGAATAATTATAATCGGAATCCATTCTGAATAATTCCATAATATGTGCCCTAATAAACTACAGATTTTACTTTGAATGAATATTAGGTAACATACAACGATAATCCATCTTTCAAAGTTAGTTCGAGCTTGACGAAACAGAAAATATTCAATGTAAGATTATTTCACAATTGTTCGTAGCGAGAACAAATTATTTGACGGTTAGTATACTAGACCTTGACGTTTGTTTTTGTGACGTTACAACGAGCAGGTGGAGCAGGCTATTGTTTACTTTAGCTATCATTCGCGTACCGACACTTCAGTGAGTTGTGGAGCTTTGTCATCCTATTTTACAAAATGCGATTATTCCTTCCGAACAATTCGCGAGTATGAATCCGCGCGGTAGATTAACTGTTACAATTAACGATCTGCAGGCGACGACTGTTTATCGAGGTGATTATATTTCACAAGCTTTAATCGCTGTAACGCGGAGATCGAAATGATAGGGATCAATGAGAGTTGTATATCGTTCATTGGCATTTTTACTGCTGACTTCTAATTACTTTTTTAACATTACGGAATATACAGCGTGTGCAAAAAGTATTTGTACAGAGCAGATATCTTTTTAAAAAACTTTATATTTAAAAGTAAACGTAAATTAGCAATTTATTAATAAAAAATAAAATAGTCTGTATATTTCTCAAAATTATTTGATCCAAAAAGATTTGCGCGCGCGCGCGCGCGTGTGTGTGTGTGTGTGTGTGTGTGTAAGAATGAAAATATATTATTATAATAATAAGTGGAAATGATAAATGATATTCTTTGGACACATAAAAAGTAAATGTCCAGAAATTTAACTTCTAAAAATAGGAACACACAAAGCCCTTTTTTTCATAATAGTACAGAATATATTTATTAGATCTGTTGCGTTGCTGGAAATCTTCAAAAATGTTCGTTAAAAAAAAGATAAAAAGAAGATAAAAATATATTTGTGAATGTTGAAGAAAAAGAAAGCGAAGATATTGAGTTCAAAAAGTACGAGTAACGCGAACGGGCCTATTATATAAAATTGTTAATTAACTAGCTAACCAACTGGGCTCTCAGAAATCCCAGTGCAATTTGCTAAATCAAGATTTTTCTGAATTTTTTTTTCTTTGAACCTATGTATTTCGGAGCTCCTTAATTCTATATATTTTTACACATCACGGATTTCTTAATCAAGTCTCCATCGATTGAAAAAAAAAATTAATTGAAATATATCCATTTTTACGGAAGTTACAGTAATAAATATGGATGGAATCCTAGGGACCCGAGTATGTCAAGAGTAAAAAAAAAAGTGTTTAGCTAGGGTTAATATTTATTTTCCACAAATAAGGCTTTTTTATAAAAATTTTTCCTGTACGAATATTTTTTGCACTTGTATCTCATGCATTAACTTTTTCGCCAGATTTAAAAGGTAATTCATCAGTTATCGTTTCTATAGTTTGAGAATACGGAGTAAGACGAGTTATGAGTTCGAATATTTTAAAGCAGTGAAATATTCATGTAATGAACTGTTATATGTAATGAACTGTTTATTAAGTGTATCGTATATTCCGCAAAAATGCATATCGAATTAGAATAAAAGTGTTACGTAAAATGTCGTGTGATCTATTTTTTTTGTTTATAAAATAAAAAATACATATATAATTAATTTCGTAAGTGAACATTTATATTAATGTGTCATATTTCCAATAAATTTCAGATTTAAAATTAGAACTTTATTTTATAAAATTAATATTTCACAGAGAGAACAAATGGCGGTTAACACATGGCCTTGACATTTGTTTTTGATGTGTTTGTGACGTATTACAACGAGCGAGTCGAGCAGGCTGTTGTTTACAGTAGGTTATTGCGCTATCATTCGCGTACCGATACTCGAGCAGGCTGGCAGTGTGTCTCTCATCTCTCCCTGCGTGTTAGCATTATCATTCTATTTTACAACATGTGATTATTCCTTGCAAATAATTTCCGAGTATCAATCCGCACTCTAAATCAATTGTTAAAATTAATGATCTGCAAGCGACCGCTTATCGATACGATTATTTCGCAAGCTTTAATCGTTCGTTACGAAGCGATAGAAAATGAGAGTTGTATATCATTCCATTGCATTTTTATTGCTGACTTCTTTAATTACTTCTTTAACATCACTCTCACGGAATATATCTCGTGCATTAATTTTTTTCACTTTAAGGGTAATTTATCAATTGCCATTTCTAGTTCAAAAGTGCAGAGTAAAGCCAGTGGCACATGATGCATTTTTTTTCCGCGGGATTGCTCCCACTGGATAATAAATTACAAGTAGAGGTGTGCGAATCAAGCATTTGTGACCGAATCGAATTGAATCTTTGATATAATATGTTCGAAAACGAATTGAATTTGAAATTTTTACATTAAATCGAATCTTTTTGATTAAAAAACGAATTGAATTTAAATCAAATTTTCTCGGATTTATATTAAAAGCTAATTTATAAAAGTAATAAAGTATTTTTAATAACATATTCTAATTTTTTTTAATAAATAAGAAAAACCATTTTTAATTTACAGGTATTACAATATGATAAAAATATATTAAAAAGACACCTTCTAACAAAAAATAAGTGTTTTATTTTTTATTAGAAGACATCTTTTTAATACACTTTGTTATGATGTTTATTTTTTAGTAATATCTGATGTAAATTGAAAATGATTCATTTTTTCGTTTATCTAAAAAATCTAAAACGCGTTATTGAAAATACTTTATTATTTTTAAATTAATTTTTATCAGTTTTTTTTTAAATTAATATAAAATATTTGAATAATATATTTCAATTCATAAAATAAGAATTATGAAATAAACGCGATGATACATGAATAAGTGCACGTATATCCTCGAAAATTGGTACGCGCTGGTATAAGACTGGTCATATTAGACATATAGGACCGCATAAATGAAGGAAATAATAAATTAAATAATAAAATTGGCCACTAGTTTAGATGATTTGAAATTTCGAACCTATTTGATTTCAAATTTCTCAGATTTGAAAACGAATCAAATAAAATCCACTGTGATTTAATTTGTTTCGAATTCAAATTATTTGCATATCTTTATTAGAATTGCACTACATAGAACGCAAAATTTCTAGTAATTTATTTAAACGCAAGCAATCCAGCAAGAAAACATACATCGTGTGCCAGGCTTAACACGCGAATCGCTAGTTTAAATATTTTAAGTAATGAAATACCGTCACGTATAAACTGTTTAGTTAGTATATCGTATCTACAAAAACACATATATTGCATTTGACAATAGAAGTATTATGTAAAATATCATGCAATCTATTTTTCATTATCACAAAATAAAAAAACATATACATATAATTAATTTTGTAAATGAACATAATTTATATATTCATTATATATATTTACATTTAAGATTTAAAATTGGAACTTCATTTTTCGTAAAATTAATATATAATTTGAATATTTTCCCTAGTAGCACAATTTGTTGGCGCAATATTGGCCCAATATATCCCTAATGTATACCAATATTAATCAATGTTTTACCAATGAATTGTGCTATTCGGATTATAATTTAGAAAGATAAAACTTTCTAAGATTGCATAATTCTTTTAATAAATATCTATATTCGAGGGAAAATAAAAAAAAATTCATATAATAATTATTTTTTGAAATATTTTAGACATTATTATAGAATTTGGATATTACATTTATCGTTACAGGTCAACGTAATTTATGTTGCTGATTTCAGTTTGAAGAAAGAACTTGGACATTGCGTTTTCGATGTATAAGTCATCGCGTTTTTAATTTCGCGCAATTTTAACTTTGGAGTATAAGTTTCGCGCGCGCGCGATCATCCTATTACGATAATTAGTTTGCTCGCGATCGTAATTAGTCGTGTTTCGCGAGTGTGTATTACGTGAGTGCAACAAGGAATCTGAGAGGAGGAGGAGGCTTGGGAGGCATCAGGCAATGGAGT